CTCCCCCCCCCTCTCTGCTATTCGAGCTCATTTGTGAAATATCGGGTTATAAGGATGAAAACGAAATCCCAATACCCTAACTTCTAGACCCCTTCTATTTTCGCAAATGGTAGTACTTATTTACTTATATACTTAGAATTCCGCTTTCATCCTTCAAGGTTTTTAAAATGTTTGGGCTATTTAGATGGGTTTTTTGTAGCCTATTGATAAGCAAAATAGTTCAAAATTTTTACTTATGGAAAGTAACTTGAATCGGTCAGCAGGAGATTCAAATATCGAAAAGAGCAGGGGCTCCTAAAGATCTTAAAAGAAATTTTAAGGCAATGGAGGGTATCACTTTACTTGATTATTGAATTTGAGAGCTCATAGGGAGAGGCTAAATTTCCTGTTTCGTCCCGGGGAAGAGAGAGGTGGGTATTTTACCATTTTTTTGCGCAAACCTTTTGATCAATTTGAAGGGCAAAATGAAATGCATTCAATCTATTCATGACAAGTCTAAGCCATCTTACAGCTACGGAGAGGTGAAACGCTGGCGCCAATCAGAGCCGAACAAGCAAATTGCATCCCCACTCAAACAGACTCAAATGTGCGGTACTACTATTTGTCGCGTAGAAGAAAGTGCAGTGGTGATCGTAGGACCCCAGGCCCAATCATTAATCAATAGCCGCTGCATCGTTCAACCAATCCTTAATTGCATTTTAATGACTAATCTCCGCGTCAGATGCAAAAAACCCAAATAAGAGTAGTATTTATGCGGCTGTTTCCCCTTCATTGTTGAAGTTGTTAAGCTAATTTTGATAGCCTTTTTAGTTAGAGAGGCTGAGAAGGGTAGGTTAGGGGCAGTTAATGTAGCAATCCGTTGCATGGTAAACTATAGCTTGGCTATGACCTTTACAAAAGATCTTGTTACTTAACATTAAATTGATAAAATTATTTTTCACAGACTGTTGTAGTATTTTTCCGAGGTCTGATTTTAATTGGAGCTTCGGGTATAATAATTCACATCTTTAGAAAATTTTTCTAATTCTGCACAATTCAGGAGACGTTTCTATCTGCGTAAAGTCACATGGAAGAGAAGATAGTTTAATTCAAGAGGAGGACTTATGCATAGTGTCTCAGAACAGGCTAATAGAAATAATCATAAAAGTGAATGGACATGCCAGAGTTGAGATATGTCAGTTGGCAAAGCAATAAATTTCCTACTAGTGGTTAAATGAAATTCAAAGGAGATTTACGAAGCTTCATTTGACGAAGCTGTGAGGTTCTGTTTGCGAATTTAAAGCAATCTGATATCTACCTTTAATTGGAACAAATACGAATACCTTAGCAGCAAACGTTAACAAATCAATTGAGATTTACAGTCGAATGTCTGATCGCGCCCATTTTTAGTACTTTCCAATAACTTAAATCCGCACCACTTAATGCGCTAGTGTTTGTTACTCACTGATTACATAAATCAGAATCCCCTCTTTAGTCCGTTTAGTGTGAAGATACTGCAGCCAATAGAAAATGAAATGATAGCTCATGTTGGTGACAATACCAATTAATGAAACCGCTATCTCCACCCCCATTGGTCAGTGCATAAACAAACTGCGGCCACGACTTCACATAACACCGTTCCATTGTCCGAACGGATCATAGCTATTTGTGTCAGATTTCATTTAAGCTCTAACAGCACACGAAGATGCTGCCGTTAGAGAGGGGTCGCGTTGTATTTCTTCTACTTCTATTACGCCTGTTCATCGTATCTGCGGAAGGGAATACTATTGAATGCTACACTCAAAACGGTCCTCCCTATAATGGAACGATGAATCACACAGCTGCTGGTGAACCCTGCCTACCGTGGAGTGAGTTCACTCATCTTCATCTGAGAAGCAGTTGGAATGCTTCCGTACTTCAAGAGCAATCAAATTACTGCCGAAACCCTGACGATGATCCAAGAGGTCCTTGGTGTATGGTAACAAGGTCCAAGTATGGGACGTGCAGCGTTCCCCATTGTGGTAAGTCCCATAAATGTTTTACTACGTGATTATTTCAATTCTTAAAGCTGCGCGAATAGTATGTTTTGGCATTGCGTGTTCTTATTTAATTGATTATTTTTCATCTCTTCATTTTATGAACTTTTACAATGTGATTTCGAGTATTTCTTCTCTCATTATTTGTAGAATGATAATAATAATAATAGTAATAAATTATCTACCTTCTTTTACTTTTGAAGAATTTATGTTTGCCGAAATAACTAATAAACGAGATAATAATTCAGCTTTTGGATTATTTTGACTATTTTGGCATTGTGCAAGCTTCAATAAATCCTGCAAAGAAAATTAAAATTTATGCCGTAATCAAGGTCTCAATGCGGGCAATATATGTTCTAAAATTTTATGCAAAATCAACAGTCCCAAATGAAGTGGTTGATTAGTTTAGGACGATATCACATAACTAAGCCTTAATGAAATCTTAGCAATCTTCTTCGAGGTTCAAATAGCTGTAAGCGGACCTCATCAAAGTCCTCTAATGTACAAGTTTGCGCCTAAAGCAGATTGATCATTCCAAAAGTAGTGAGATTAGAGATGGCTTTGAATACATTTATGGCTGCGCTGCACTAATATCGATTACTGATTGGCTTGGAAATTTCTGTACTCAAACCAATTTTAACAGTTATTTAGTAGCATGGACGCACTTTCCAGAATGTTCTGGAAACTTGTCAGCCTTGGTATTATACACTCTACAAATTTAGACAAAACCGAGTGAAAGCGTCAAAATAGGAGGTATAATGTCTCGTTCATTCAGGAATATGATGTTATGCCCATCAAATGTTGAGTATGTAATCTAATCAGCATGACCTTGAATCTTATATTTTGGCTTACTTTGGTTTGTCATTTTGTCAAAATTTAAACATACGTTAAAGGGGAAGATAAATACAGATATCATTTCATTAATTACGTTTAAAACGTTTCTTGTCCTATTTCTCGTTTTAGAACATTTGGTTGATTGCTATGAAGGAGTCGGTGAAAACTACCTCGGAGACGCACAAACTACCGAGGATGGGCAGGTAGGATAGCTTTCTAAACTAACAAATCACCTTTAAAAATTTGATTTCTTGGGAACTATTTCGCAGCTGAAAACAGCAGATAATAGTTCAGATAGGCAGAATGTACAGTGTTGTCAATACCAAAGGGTATTAACTTAACCACGACGTGAATTCGAGGGTGAGAAAGAGAGAGACGAGGCGTATATGGAAGAGAGTAAAGCGCAGGTTTTTGAAACAAAACGGCTACATCTCTCCCCCCCGCCCCCAATCCTTAAATAAAGTATAATATTATTCTTGGCGAGGAAGGAAATGATTGCACACCACACTCAAAGAGCAGCAGAATCCGCTGAAAAATTTACAAAGAGGAATACGCCAAAGACGATCGGCAAACTATTTGTGCATTCCGTTTTTCCATGGTCTCATAACGTAACCAATTTTTTCTTGAATACACAGAGGAAACGAATTTCACATGAAGTTAATTGAATCCTATATTGAAATGCCCGCATTTTTGCCTGTCAATACCTTATCCCATAAATATTTTCAATAAGTAGTGTTGAATATCCGCACAGACAACGCCCCCACCCCAGTTTTTCCACTCCTTTTAATTACGATTCACGTTTCGGCACGGAAGAAACAAATTTTCGTTTAGAATTGGATACTCCAATTATACCCACTTTCCCATAATCTGCATCCAGCCACATTTTCGGTCTCACTATAAGAATTTATGAGAGATAAAGCCCTGGATTTAGTAGTTATGCCTTAAGGCTTCTCAAAGGGGTCTTCATTAAAACTTTCTTGCTGCCTCGAGCACCTCTTCCCTTTTATAGATGTGCGCTACTTGGTCTGACCGTCTGAATGATCATTATAACACTAGGGAAAGTCAAATGGTTTTTGTCAAATTCAACTCTCCAACCAATTGGTCATCGGTTCCTCTTTTCGACTCAAGTGTACACAACTTCCGAAGTTGCCGAAATCCTGGTGGGAAAATGGCCAAACCCTGGTGTTTTGTAGGAAATAAAGCGGGCCGTTCGTCATATTACCACAGTTACGATTATAATTACAAAGTGGCGTCGTGCAAATTGGACAAATGTGGTAAGTACTACGCTTGACATTTTGGCGTTGAACTTTCTTCTAATATAACCCAGTTCGATTAAATGGATAAGTTTGGGTATTCATGAAACTGTTCAACTTCTTTGCAGTGATGGCATTGTCAAAAATGGGGTTTTTACATGTCCATTAAGTAATTTCATTGGTTAAGCACTTAGTTTATTAGCACGTTATGATTATAATTCGGGGCTGGGCTGGGCCCTCTGTTCTCTTTGATCGAAGGCGCTTCTTTTGCAATAACTTGACCTTCCTGTAAACGTTTCATAATGACTGAAATTCTAATCCTGCTGAAGAAATTACATCTCGTGCTCATCCATATTAGGCTGCATTTATATTGACCAGAATGAATTTATTTTATCCCTCTATGTAAAGACCTATCATACTTTGACAACTGAAGGACATGAGCGTATGAATCTATGTGTAGTTCTCGCTTAGTTCACTCAATTGAACGATGCCGTTTATTCATACTTAATTCATGTGCTATTCAATTATTTTGATTCTTAGTCGTGGGTGTTATGTAAATTCAATGTTCTTAGAAGTGTGGTTCTGCCTCGACATTCCAAATTCTTCAATCCACCTCTGGAGTATATATTTTAAACTTCTATCGAAATCTTATGGTTCATAACACTTACATTTCCTGTTTTCTGACCCTTAATTAATATAAATAGTTATTTAAGTATATCACTGATAATATACTGTGTTATCTTATTGGTGCGCATCTGCAGTTTCGATTATTGCCTTCAGTGAACATAAACACCAAACATACTTAATAATAGGGATCATGGCAGACATGATAATGGCTTTTCATTAGAGGTAGGCTCAACAAACCATTTTCTACTCAAGATGAGTGTTGGAACATGCAATTTGTCCAAAGTCATGGAAAAAAGAAAGGTGTGTACGAGGTTTCTGAGTCATTTTCCACCCCAAGGGCAAGTGTGTTGGACATGTGTGGTATTTTCAGCGTTCAACAATCAGGAGAAGATGGTAAAATAGCCATGTGAAGAGAATCAATGGAATGATACGAGGTTAAGGTCAAGCTTGTGCTTCTATGAACATACATAATTTCCAATGATTGATGTAGACATGAGCCCATTTAAGTAATTTCTCAATCTAATTGTGGAGCCGATCTCGTGGGAAATTCGTATTCCGCCTACTCCCTTATTGAGTAGAATTAACTAGAAAGGCGGCCTCTGCATCGATGGATTTGCACAGCGGACAACGCTTTTCGGCCCTTTCTAGAAAAGGCAAATATATTTAACTTTATCTTCGAACTCTAGCATTTCAGTTCTATTTGCAAATCGGATTTCTTTGAAATGCCATGTGTCTTCCGCGTACCAATTAATGTACTTTCACGGACTAAATGAAATTTCTTCCAAATATTGCATCCGTATATTTATTTATTTATTTATTTATATCAAATGTCAGGCTTTTTGGAAGTTATCATTAGCCCTTTGGCTGAATTCGGGCTTCTTAGAAGGGAGGAACATCAAAGTCACAAAAAGTGGATAGGGGGTGTAGAAAAGAGATTCATTGGTGTAAAGGAGGCAGACATAAAGATAGAGAAAAGGGTAGGGTGAGTACCGTGAAATGATAGAATACGGCATACAGTGGGATCATGGTAGTTTGAAGTCAGCAGTCAACTGCCGATTAATAGACTTTTTTGTCGTATGAGTATACGTTGCCCAGGATGCACCACGTGGAGGTAAGTCTATTGCGCACCCCAATCAAATATTGTATTAGTGCCAAAAGTGTAGCTCTTGTACTTGTTTACCTTTTGTGACCTTAGTAAACAATCCGTTCCATTTAAGAAATTTATTTCCTTTCTTACAAAACGATAGATCGAAAGCGTAATTTGTAGAGTGCACCCAATGATGCAATGTTTAATTTATTCGCTAAAGGTCGAGTGTTCGACAACGATCCGTACACCCTTCTTCGAATTGTCAATTACAAATGTTTAACTTACACAAATCGGTTCATTGTCATTAGTATAGACAAGATTGAGAGATCCATATTTGTCGTCAAAATTGTATCCGAGACACCGCCTTTTTAGTTAATGTTGTTAATACGCTCCTGGGGAGTTGCTACTGAATCCCGGATACTGTGCGGACATGAATTGAAGTAGATTTTGGTTACACATGAGCCTCCTTCAGTCCGCTTACCCCTTAATGATACAACTAGTTAATGAGTATAGAAGTACAGTCCCACCTCAGGAACATGGATCTTGCAATACACTTTGTGTCTGTTTCGAGCTGTATTGCACTTCGTGTAGGATCAGAAGTCCTAAAGAGAGGAGATTCAAAAATATTGACGACTTCAAATATCCCAAAGAGCTGTTTTATGCTTTTACTAAGTGCGTATGTACCTCTTAAGATGGAGATTGCCACTGTGCATTTAAACCTTATTTGACTTTGGCTTACTCAATAAGATTCGTTTTTCAAGGTTACTTTCTACTGTGAATTTACTAGTTATACACTTTAGGCACTAGACACTGATTAAAAATTTCCCCCAATGCTAAAGATAATAAGTTCTTTTGGAAGAATCTATTTGTTGTGTCCCTTCTGTTCTAATCTTGGGGAAAGTTTACAGCGGATTTCAGTTCTCTAACTGTATTTAATAAACTGGATCGACTTTTAAAGATTTTGCTTTAATGTGCTCATCTGCCGAGGCAAAGATTATGGTTTTGAGAGTCATCGAGGTGCGCTCAGTAAGCGAAACAGTAGATGAGGTCTAGTTAAGCCTAATAAAAGATAGATTGGCGGAATTTGAATTTTGCACTTAGGAAACTTCATGATACAAACCCCCCCCCCCCACCATAGGTGCGTTTTTAAATAAAAACAACTATACAATAGAGAGGCTTGAGTATCCATTTAGTAGAATTGTTATTACCCCCTTCACCAGCAGCAAGAGTTAGAGTGAATATGTCTAGTATAGTGTATGTATGCGTTAAGTAAAAGCACCTTTGGCCAAAGTCTCAATGACTTCGTCTGACCTTAAGTTTCATCCTAACTTTGTGCACATAGACCATACAATTTTCTTGGCTGTATTCATTTAAGGCTCGGATACCAAGGTAATGGAATACGTATTCATTGATACAAAGGTGCATGCACTCTGAACAGAGACCCTCTGTTCTGCCGATGTGTTAATGTAATCTTTTCGTTTATCGCCTAATCTATAAAACCGCACTGACCTTATTTCCTACCTACAATTAACGAATATTTCCATTTAAGTACCGATCAACCACAATTTTCTCCTTTATTCTGAGTATGATTCATCCCCTAGTTTATAAATATACTAATCCGTTTTCCCACTCTATGCAAAATGCGCAGTTTACCTTTGATCCGTTAATTATTTTCACTTTCACCTTTATAAACGCAAGGCGGCTGTCAACGTGTAATGTAAATAAGCGTCAGCCGTCTCCATATTCTGTTTAAGTTGAGGCATCTCAGTTCATAGAGCTTAAAAAGTCTATAGTTTGGCCCGTAGATGATACTTAAGGTAAGTTTATCATATGACAGGAAGTGAGAATTTGAATACTGTTAAAGGATAAGTATTTGACCTTAATTTTTCTATCACACCGTTTTCGGGATAAGGAATAAAACCAGAATTATCCACGCATTTATGGCTGAGTTTTCAGGTTAATAAATTAGGTTAATCGATTGGTCCTTCCGTTCCAATGTATTCTAGTTGCTATTCCAAACTACTCCCATAGTGGCCAACTTTCACACAATTAGTAAATTTATTTGCTTATTCAAAATTTACTAGAATTTCAATGGAAAAGCGAAGGTACCAATAAACAGACAAATTATATTTTGTGCGTTCAGCTTACGCGCTGTTGACCTGGAATGGTTTACTCTATTTGTTTACATTTACAAGGCGCCTATGAGCGTACACAAAGCCTCTCCTATCACATATGCGCATATGTCAAGGCACTCAGCCAAATTGTCACATTGGGGTGAAATTTTTTTCACAAGACTTTTTGAAGTGACATTAACCTAGATCCTACGCTGTGATCTCCGGTGAATTCAAATCAACTCCAGCTGTTCAAGTGAGATTTATTGAACTTCTGGTTTCTTCATTAATCTCGACCTTAAAAGTGAAGAGGGGAAAACATATTTTCAATGACTTTATTTTAAAAATTACTCCTAATATTGTCTTAATTCTCTTACCTCTAACGCCAAGTGTTGTTTCCTTTTGTGGATTCATCATTTGTTGGGTCTGTAAGCTGTTGGCCACTTTCTCACACCCTCTAACGCAAGAATTTTAACATTGATTTATATCAAATGGCAGGTGTTTTGACAGTTATCATAAGCCCTTTAGTTGACTTCAGGTTTCACAGAGGGGATGGAACACCAAAGTGAAAAAAAGTCGAGTTGGTTGGGGGGAACAGAACAGTGTTTCAGAGATGTAAAAGAGACAGACACAGAGGTAGAAAAAAGATGATGTGAGTACTGTGGTAGTAGTCGAATATGACATAAAGTGAGGTGATGGTAGTTTGAAGTCAGAAGTCAACTGCCAGTTAATAGACCTTTTTGCCGTATGAGAATACGTTGCCCGGGGTGCACTACGTGGAGGTAAGTCTATCGCACACCCCAGAATTTTGACATAAAGCAGTGAATAGCTTTTTTAAGCTCGCCTGCACTGATATTCCCCATATTCGATAATTTTATTTCATTAGGACGTTCATCTGAATTTCTACATTTTGAGCTGTGATTTGAAGTTATTTTGAAAGTTAGAAAACGTTTTTATGTTAATTTATTTATAACAAATGTCAGGCTTCATGATAGTTACCATTAGCTCCTTAGTTGACAGAAGGGAGGAACATCTAATTCACAAAAATGTCGAGGGGGAGGGGGACAGAGGAGTAATTCACAGATATAAAAGATATAGGCAGACACAAAGGTAGAGAAAAATTTAAGGCGAGTACTGTGGAAGTGATGGAATATGACATACAATCGGGTCATGGAAGTTTAATGTCAGAAGTCGGCTGCTGATTTATGACTTGTTTGCCGTTTGAGTGTAAGCTACCCTAGGAGCACCATGTGGGGGAAGGTTTTGTATGACAGTAGTAGTAAAATGTTTTCAAAGCCGTATCCATATTTTTTTCAATACAGAGAAGTTGGACATTTCAAAGGCTTATGCACCGAATTTCGAAAATGCAGTGTTTGAGTTGCAGTGCCTAATAGCATGAGGAGAGAGAGAGAGGGTCACATGGACTGAGAATGTTTGTAGTTTCATGAAATTAAATTCCTTTCAAACTCATAAATCCTAGTATAAGTGTTTTCAGTAGTTTGTCATGTGATAAACTTGTCTTGGGATGTGGTGGCTTGGGTAGAAATGACACGCCATGTCAACATATGACAAGAAATGAAATAGATAAGCTCTTTTCACTCACACTTCCTCTGGTTATGCGTAGGTCTAGCCATTTATTGCTTACCTCTTTAATTAGTAAATATCTGATTCACTTCAATTAAAGTGGATGAACGATCAAACATAAACACGGGCTCAGATGGATACCAAGACCGGAAAAATTGTAATAAATACGTGCTTTGTACCGGAATATCGAGTGGTTTAGGAATTTGGAGGTAGAGTTTTAAAATCATGTTAGATGTGCACTAAGGAGCACTCATATTTTATATGAACCTGATCAATAAAGTAGCTGTTTTAAAAACCGAAGGTCACTTCGCAAGCATTATGTTTATAAACAGGGTTTTTATTTCCTTAAATCCTTTAGATGAATCCAGTCACATTGGTCTCCCAATGGACTTCGGAGCCGAATGTCCACCTGGTTTCGTGACACATGTTGGGAAGACTGTCTACTCTCAGGGCGAAATTTCCACTGTCTATTGTGTTCTTTCCTCTGAAGAACTTCGCAGGACCAAAAAACGAGGCTTCGGAAGTTTCTGCATGTTTTTGCTAAACCAAGATCGAGAAACATGTCCCAAAGGTAAGTAAGTGATAAATTTGATAATTATTGGACCGTAGTTGACACGGTCTCAGGCGTATATAGGAAAGCTAGAGACGTTATTGAAGTAAAAAATGGCTCTTGATACTCATGAAACTGACTAGATTGCACTAAATTCCTACCTGATCACGAACAGCTTTGTTTATGTGCATGCTGGTTCAACTAACTGTTAGGGTGCCAAGGTCGATATGCACCCACCAATTCCATGTCGATATGGAGAATAATCATTTGCTGGTTGCCTCCAAACTCAGACAGGGTATTTGAGGTTTGTTGTTGAGGCATGGTGAGAGGTGGTCAACATCTGACAAGATAATACAAACACAGATTCAATCTTCTCAGCAACGGGATGATGGGGGTAGAATGCAGGTATCTCATTAAAGAAGCTTCTAGATGCTTACTTCCCATGTGGGTTGAGTAATTTTACCTAGTAGACCTATGAAATTTGAGTGAAAAGTGACCAAATGTCAAATAAAGTGAACTCAAATTTGGGTGGAGCAAGGGTCTGAGTTTTTCTTTTATTTCTTTAGCACAAATTGCGAATTCCCTTCTTGTAACACCTTATATATTATTAGGATTGGCTGCCAAATGGAATTGTGTTTTACAACGGTTAATTGTGTTCTGCAACGCCTCAGGGAAAATAATTCTTGTTCTGCAATTGCCATGTTTTCTCGTCCTTGTTAATAGCCTTATAAGCCATTTATGACCTCTAGTTGTGGCTGAATTAATTATCAATTAAAAACAGCCATTAATGAGTATATACAATTCAAAGACTAAGGTAGAGCTAATAAAAAGGTGGGTAGCATTCATAACCTTGTTGGTTTATTTATAGGGGACGTTGTTTTTTACCTCCTGTAGGGTTTGACATGAAGCGAACATTTATGCGAACATCAATGAAAGTGAAAGGCAAGTACTCCATGTTCAGATTAGAAGGGCAAACTTCCATTTGGATCTCCCTCTGCTGTACAAATGGATCACACACAGATGTAGACGTAAAGTATCCAAAGATTGGCGTCACCTACAATTCTCTCTGGAACAATGGCAGGGGAAATTTCCCTCTAACGTCCGAATCCGAAACAGATGTAATTCACGAAAGACCAAGCTCAAAAGACACTCCACTTTTTGTCTCCATTGAACGCTGTCCACCAGTGGAAGGAACTAGACGAAGGATTTTCACGATGGGAACTTATAAGCAGTCCAGCTTGACGGCAACTCTGTTAGACTATGGCTATTTCACATCCATGTGTGCTTATTATTATAATGACCCGCCACCACCACCTACTGATGATGAGTTTAACGAAAGTACGTAAAAGTATGCTTAAATCTGGTTTTCAAGGTAGCTCAAAATCTAGCAAGTGGTCACTTTGTAGCTCTCGTACCGAGCATCTTGGTGGAAGGCAAAAAGTGTCCACCCCACTTCACTCCAGCACCTAACGCCAAAGCTCATCTCATGTTTTACTTTCTTCGAGTTGCTTTCATTCTTTGCAAACCCGAGGGTACCTACCTTAACGATGCTATTGATAGAATTTTACCGGATGGAGCTCAATGTTTCCTTTCGCATACACCCGCGGAGATTAAAAAGGCTGAAGGAAGTACCGATAAGGAGATTAATAGTATTATTGATGGCGAAGCAGCGGATATGGAAAGCGTTGGCACTCCGATTAGACGTTATCACTGCCCTATTGGTAATTGCCCTTATCACAATGAAATTTTTCATGGCAGGTTAATCCAATTTCCTTTTAAATAGGTTTTGATCTCAGTGAACTCCGTTGGGCAGGGGGCAATGAAACGGGTCTTGAATCAATCAATATGCACTTCTGTTGTCGTAAAGCTTCTAATGAAACGTCGAAAGACAGTGCTCGGGGATTCGGGTTCATTACTCCCAATGATAGAGTTGAGCCGTACCTTGATAAACCCAATATATTCCCTCTGCCTACATATCTTCGGGCAGTACCAACATTTGCTATTCTGATCCAAGGGGAAAGTTGTCCTGGTTTTATGGATCAAGGAGCTTTGTTGGTGGGAGACTTTGTAAGCGAACTTTCCAGTGAACTCAACTAATTGATAAAGCTCAATATTTTGCGTGGTTATAAAGTTAGAGACAGAATACACTTGAATAATTCACTTAGTTTCGTGACAGTCAGTAGTGAAGTCGAAGTAACTTTGCTAATTAAGCACGTCGTGGATGTTTACTGTTAGTTTAATTTCATTTCTTCAAGATTCCCAAGTTCACAATTTCCACTGTCAAATTGCATGAACAAATGCCTTTCAAATCTTGATAACGAGTAGCTCAGGTAAGTTTGGCCCCGAAAAGTTCAATTAAAGACCAAGGTCATCCTTTTAAAAAGCGATTGTGTTCCTCGTATATTAATGGCACTGGTGTATAGAATATTTCCTTCCATTTTCATTGCTATGTAGCCCAGTTACAACAAATTCTTATAAAATATTTGCTATAAAATTTGGATATTGTGGAGATAGAGGGTTAGGGACAGAAATTTCCAAAATATTAAAAACGTTTTAATAAAATCAATAAACAGAGTTTGGCTTGTTTCAGTAGTTGGATCTTGTTATTGTCACTCCTTCCAATCTAACCACTCCCATTAACCAAGATTTTTTCAGTTCTGGATGATTTTATTAATTTTAAATTCATCTTATAGTTAATGCAGTATGTGGTATAGGGTTAAGGAAAATTAAGTGATCAATGACTCACTTTGTGATATCCCCAGTCCACTCTACTATCCCTCGTCACCAAAAAATGAACCAGGCTGTGGATGAAGTGGAAGACTAAAGAAAATAAGTGAATTCCATCGAATCTTCTCCCACATTCTTGAATATACAGATTAATTTGATAACAGAATTTTAGCTTATGCGAACGTCAGATCCTATTAGAGTCCAATAATGAAAACCGGATTTATCCGCTTTACCACAAATGTTGTAAACCTTTATTTATTTCAAATGGCAGGCGTTTTGATATTTATTATTACCCCATTAGCGGACTTCGGGCTTCACAGAGAAGAGAAAGAACATCAAAGTGATAAAAGTTCGAGAGAGGGGCAGAATAATGAGTCACAGATATAAGAGACAGACAGGCAGGCACAAAGGCAGAGAAAATGTAAGATGAGTACTGTTGAAGGGGCCAAATATGACATACAGTGGAGTCATGGTAGTTTGAAATCAGAAATCAACTGCCGGTTAACAGAATTTTTTGCCGTACGAGTATACGTTGCCCAGGGTGCATCACGTGGAGGTAAGACTACCGCATACCCCGTGTTTTCACATTCAACTAAAGAAAATAACTGAATTCCATTGAATCTTCTCCCATATTCTAGGATATCCAAACTTATTTGATAACTGAATTTACCCCTATGCAAACGTTAAATTCTATTAGAGCCCAATTATGCAAACCGGATCTTACCAGAGTTTGGAGATTATCGGTCAGTCGACTCCAGTCGATTTTGTTGAATCTAAATTCGGCATTCGTGCTGTTCTCTCCCTCTGCAAGTACTCCAAGCCTAGAGGTAAGTTTTACACAACAATACTTAGAGTACGGCCATTGGAAGAATTTGACTAACAATTAGCCACTTATAGATGAAGTGGGGATCCTTGCACCCCAAGGTTTTTGTCGTGGCGTTGGAGAGCGACATGTTCCAAATTTCCATCTTCTTCGTGACACTGGCACAGTCTGCGCTGTCAATGTTACAAACATTGTGTTTCCGCCTGGGTCATACTGCTTCTATAGAACTACCAAAGTCTGTCCGCCAGGTACAATTCAGTAACATGCAAATTACATATATGTATAGATTTATTTATATCAAATGGCAGGCTTTATGATAGTTAT